TGTAGGGGGTCTGCTAGAGCTGGATATTTCACCTTATAGGGGCAGGGTAGACATACCTACAGACATCTCAATGATGGTCATTTCTGTCCCCGATGCTTTTTTATTCAAAGGATGGGAGTCAATTTGCAGCTGGTGGGGTGTCCACTCCCCATCCTTCCATTTGTTCCAGGGCATGGAGATGTAGTGGGTATTACAGCACCTGCTTACTCTTGAGAGCCCAGAACCAAGATCCATTTTGCCCATACACAGTTGTAGTAATGTGAGGGGGGGGGGCAGAGGAGGGCTCATATTCTCATGCATTAGCACATAGTTCCTTTCTGCATTTTGTCTTTCATACCAACATTATATTGTACTTCTGTAACTCCATGCCTGTTGGGTGTAGTGCTCCATCCTCCTCTAGTGGCACCTAGACCACATAGAAAATAATGAATCTGTTACAGCCTTAATAAAGAGCTACATGGCTTTTAGCTTATATAGTAGAGCTCATGGATTTAGCTCCAGAGGTCCTAAATTCAACCCCACCCACCAACAATGGGGGGGGGGTCCATCATCTTTACACTTCCCCTCACTTTTCTCTCTAAGGTATTCAGACTCTGTTTAAGGCAATATAGTTACAGCTGCTTATTATATTTGGCCCTTATGTTACAGAGTCTGAAAACATCACTGCTAAACCAAATCCAGACTCTTGTGAATACAGCACAGACCACCAGAGAGCAAGAGTAGTAATATTCTAAAAAGAGCTGACTGCTGTTTTAAAAGAAATACAACTTAACATACATAAGTGTTTGTCTCAACCGATTAAAAAAAAACTTTTTGAAGCCATTTACAACAAAGACTAATGTAACTCTTTGCTAAGTATTGTAAAGTAATGATAAAATCTCACTAAATTCTGGATCCTCTATGATATTATGAGTCACCTCCTACTAATATACAATGTAGCTTAGTACCAGAACTAATATGATACATTATATAATTCACTGTGTACGGCTTTAAGCCACTAGAGTTCAAATATAATAGGATATGAATAATGTAAAGAGTAATGAATTGTTTCATTTTCTAGTTAAAGTTCAATGTAAGTCTGTCATAAATATAAAGGGAAGGGTAACCACCTTTCTGTATACAAAACTATAAAATCCCTCCTGGCCAGAGGCAAAACCCCTTCACCTGTAAAGGGTTAAGAAGCTAAGATAACCTCGCTGGCACCTGACCAAAATGACCGAATAGGAGACAAGATACTTTCAAACCTGGAGCCGGGGGCTGGGGGGGGGGAGACAAAGGGTCTGTCTGTCTGTGTGATGCTTTTGCCGGGAACAGATCAGGAATGCTCTTCAGAGATGCTCCTGTAAAAGGTTAGTAAGCAATCTAGCTAGAAATGCGTTAGATTTTCTTCTGGTTAAATGGCTGGTAAATAAGCTGTGCTGAATGGAATGTATATTCCTGTTTGTGTGTCTTTTTGTAACTTAAGGTTTTGCCTAGAGGGATTCTCTGTGTTTTGAATCTGATTACCCTGTAAGGTATTTACCATCCTGATTTTACAGGGGTGATTCTTTTACTTTTTCTTCAAATAAAATTCTTCTTTTAAGAACCTGATTGCTTTTTCCTTGTTCTTAAGATACAAGGGTTTGGGTCTGTGTTCACCGATGCAAATTGGTGAGGATTTTTATCAAGCCTTCCCCAAGAAAGGGGGTGTAGAGCTTGGGGGGATATTTTGGGGGGAAGACATCTCCAAGTGGGCTCTTTCCCTGTTCTTTGTTTAACACGCTTGGTGGTGGCAGCATAGGGTTCAAGGACAAAGCAAAGTTTGTACCTTGGGGAAGTTTTTAACCTAAGCTGGTAAGAATAAGTTTAGGGGGTCTTTCATGCAGGTCCCCACATCTGTACCCGAGAGTTCAGAGTGGGGATGGATCCTTGACAAAGTCCATGATCAATATAGTTAAATATGAGTAAATGCATAATGAAGTATAAGTATCACCATAACTTATTCACATATATAACATATAAATAAGTGCAGTATTTGGAGATGTCATTTACTTCATATAGGCTACTGTAATTACTTGTCATTTAGCTTAAGTACTAACTAAAATTGTTTTAATGCACTTAATGATCAGTGAAACTACCAATTGCTTGTGGATATCAGTAACCAAGTATATGTTCAGAATAAGATTTAAGAAAAAAAGAAATAATCAAAATGTACTGTATTAAGTTAATCAGTACTTACTATCCCTTCCAAGAAGACTATGGGTCACTTGATTCACTTTACTGGTAAGTAGTAAGTTCTAGTCTGTGACTCACTGTACTACAAAGAAATAACAACCATCCTCGCCAATTTCCATAGGTGAACACAGACCCAAAGCCTTGGATCTTAAGAACAATGAACAAGCAATCAGGTTCTTAAAAGAAGAATTTTAATTAAAGGAAAAGTAAAAGAATCACCTCTGTAAAATCAGGATGGTAAATACCTTACAGGGTAATCAGATTAAAACAGAGAATCCCTCTAGGCTAAACCTTAAGTTACAAAAAGACATAAAAACAGGAATATACGATGTTAAGGGGCTTATTCCTTCACCCACTTACTTCTCTGGTCCTTCTCGCATAAACAGAGAGCAACAATACCCTAAGTCCAAAGGTGCAAACAATTCAATGTTTATTGGGGTGAACTTCCAGCAAGCATGATTCCAGTTTCCTTCCTTAGTATCCTCCTTCCCAGCTCTGACACCACAGAGCCTTACACTTGTGTCCCTGTTCCCATTCCTGCCCTTAGCAAAACATGATTCCAATTTCCTTACCCCCGTTCCCTGTTCCCATTTCCCCCTTTAGCAAAACATGATTCCAATTTCCTTACCCACATTCCCTGTTCCCATCTCCCCTACCCATACATACATTCCATTCAGCACAATTTATTTGATCAGCCATTTAAATAAAACAGAATCTAATGCATATCTAACTAGATTGCTTACTGACTGTTTACAGAAGTTCTGACCTGCATTCCTGCTCTGGTCCCGGCAAAAACCAACACATACACACAGACAGAGAGAACCCTTTGTTCCCTTTCCCCCCAGCTTTGAAAGTATCTTGTCTCCTCATTGGTCATTTTAGTCAGGTGCCAGCGAGGTTGTCTTAGCTTCTTAACCCTTTACAGGTGAAAGGGTTTTTGCCTCTGGCCAGGAGGGATTTAAAGGTGTTTACCCTTCCCTTTATATTTATGACAATCTCCAACCATAGATTCTTCTCTTCTATCAGCTCTATCAGGTGGCACTTTATGCAGACAAAATTCTTTTCAGGTACCCCCTCCGGGATCATGTACATGCCACAGCTTCTACATCCAGTCATCTTCATTGTGTCTTCCACTACTTGAGTCACTCACACTGCTGCCTCTGTGTCTGTCATAACCTTCCCACCTAAATCCTGATAGTCTGGGAAACACAAACCAAACCAAAACACCCACCCATAGCAAAACAACCCCCCCAACGAGCACGAAAACACTGCCAGAACACCACACACTCCCTTCCCTAGCCTGTCTGTTCCTCTGCCTGGTTCTCCTAGTCTTCCCCCACAAACTCCCCTTGCAAACTCTCACTCAAACCCCCCTGTTTACAGGTCTGTTTGCTGGCTCCTGTGCCTCTGCAGCTGTCTGTCCATTTTGCATGTTCAGAATCTGAATTGTCAAATGCTTAGAGAATCATATATAGCCAATTTCCTCTAGATTAAGGCTGTGCACTTTTATTCAGTTAGGACTACATCCATGACAGGTTTTCAACTTTCAGATATCAAAGTGTAGGTGTTTTATTTATTTATAACTCAGTGCAGTTTTTTGGGAGGAGGAGAGTGGTTTCAGAAGTCCCTTTCTCCTACAGTGTTTGTTCTCACACAATCAAGCCAACTCCAATTTCAGCAAGAGATACAATTTTCAGAAATGTATGCACTCTTGAAAGTTGAGACTGTGTGATGTGGTGGGGATGGGGATGGGAAGAGAAGAGTAGAGAACCAGGACTCCATAGACCTGCTGTCCGGACAAAGAGAGGAAAACATGTCTTGCATGACCGATACTCTCTATCTTGATCAGATGTGTAAGGAATGGTCAGAGGCTTGGCTTTCTACCTCTATACTGTTTCAAGACAGTTCATGGAGGTGGGAGAGTAGAGAATGAGCACATTATACTTAATAAAGGGCTGTAATAAATGACTTCTTCTTTGTTTAGAACTTTCAGGACAATTCCTTGGAAGTGCTGAGTACACCATTTCCTACTGAGGTCACCTAAAATTGTATTCCTTTAAAAAAAAAAGACTGGACAATATAGATACACAAAAGTAAGAAAACTCACATCCGTTTTGATTTAAGACAGAATCTGAAGTCAATCGGAAATTAACATGGTTTAGCAAATGCTCAGTGGCTCTCAGGATTTGGTCTTTGTCTTGTCTAAGTCATGACAAAACATGGGACAATATTTCAGGAGAGAGAGAGGGTGTGCAAGTTACTGGTGAAAATAAGAAGAATTCTTTGAAAAAGTAGGGTTAACAGATGTGTGTTCGAGCTTTGTTAATAAAATAGTTCATTAAACCTATACCTTGATAGGTTATCAAATGTTATCTAAATAACATTTTAGGGTCAAGGTTACTGAACCTCTGCTGAGAAAAAAGAATCAGTAGTAAATGAAAATAAAGCTCTTACACTCATTAAATTGAAGTGAGATTGCTTACTGGAACTTCCTCCAGCTACAAATTTGAAAGTGCAAGAACCATCTTCGGTGGAGGCATATGATCCTAATAGGAAATCGTGGTAGCCATGTTGGAGTTTTACAACAGCCCATATCTTAAGCTACTGAAAATATATGAATGGGTCATAGTTCACTGAATCTACAATGGAAAGGCACATAGAAGAGCCAGCAGGGCTTAAACAGTTTGAAAGAACACAAAATAGAAAGGCACAACCTGAAACAGCTTTAAAACAAACAAAACTCATTTGTTTTGGGGAGGGGGGGTATTTGGCATTTTTATTGCTTTTTCAGTTGCTTTCCAGGCTTCTAATACCCATGACAACTGCACAGTTGCTCAATTATGACAGAACTGGAGAAGCACAAGAACATTCAAACCCATTAAATGTTCTTGAAAATCAAAGTCTAAAGCTAAGAAGTTGCACTTCTGCTATACTTAGTGGGTGAGGGAGTAAATGATATTTGTGATTCACTGCCCAACCACACACCGGGCAGCCACAAAGATCCCCTTGTGAAAAGCCATTAATGTTCCAATTGAACCCTCTTCTCTGTCTCTGAGAAAAGTGGTATATGAAACATTTGATTTCAGGCAAACAAGACAAGAGCAAGGCAAGACACTGGCCAATAGTTATGCAAACTACACTTGCATGACAGTTGCTGATCTGGATCATGAAATCAGGATGCAATGCTGTGTGTCAATTAAATTTCTCAGAACAGTTTTTAGAGAACCATAGAATTTCATAAAGAGAGAGATGGAGAAACTGGACAGTTGGGATAATAGCTACATATGCTACTTTTAAGCCAACCGACAACTCCCCTATGATAAGCAAATTCTCAGTTGGCCAGTTAAGACCAGAGTTCAGTTACTTTATATGGCCTGAGCAATACAATATGATCAAAACAAAAGGGAGTAAAAATAACCTAGTTGTATGTCTATACTAGTGGCTTTAAATCTAAAGCATCTCAAAGTTCTTCACAAGTTACATACGTCTAGCTGAATCTTACACCTTCCCATACAGCTTTTTAATAGCAGAAAGGAACATGACAAAATGGTCACACAACAGTCCTCCCCACATATCTAAGGATAATACACTCATTCACTTTCACTCATTGATTTGACTGATTGATTTAATTGATGATGTTTAGAGCAAAATTTGTCAGGGGGCTCCAATTGATTTCAGGATGAGTAGGGAGCTTTGCCCTGTATCTCAGGGTAGAATTAGAAATGTAGGTTTTACCATGGTAATAGCTTTTTATTTTTTGGCAGTTTAAAAAGAGCTCTGTGAAAGCTCAGAAGCTTGTCTCTCTCACCAACAGAATTTGGTCCAATAAAAGATATTACCTCATTCACCTTTTTCTCTTTTAAAAAATCCTGGAACTTCCTGGTTTTGTCTATCATCCCCTGTCTAACCATTTCAGAATGGATCTTGTCTCCACTTCATGGGGGATGGGAAGATGCTTTTCTTCCATTTTCTCCTAAGCTCCATCACTTTTGTTGCTAACTTTTGCCTTATCATTTTCACTTCAGCCAGAAGAATAATTTCTATTGAAGATCCCCAAAATACTTCTTCATAGATTGAGGGGTTGCTGAGTAGGCAAGCGATAAGGACTCATTTTTCCACTCCCCCTCCATTCGCCCCCAGGAAAGCAAGTATGTTGTCTCCTTATTTCTGATGTCTGCCAGCCCCTTTAGTGGGAGTTCCAGGGTTACTTCCAAGTCCATGTCCAGTGTGATAAAACAGACACACTGCTGCAGCTTCTCTGGGCCAAAGAGGATTTCTTTGTTCTGTGCTCCAGGTCGGATGAAAGTCAGCTCCACATCCCTTTCATTCAGTCTAAGCTCTGTACAAAACTGTACTGTGGTGTCTGGTAGATAATAAAACAATGAGAATGTATCCATGAGAACAAACATTTGCTGCACATTGCAAATATAATCCATCTGTGACTAGATTAACCCATATTCCCAATAGTCTGTATAGGTTCATAAATTATTATGAACAGATTTTTTTAAAAGTCTCATTTTTTCCCATTCTTAGCAATGATTTGAATCCTTTTCCAACACAATTTTAAAGATGTTCAAAACAACAAGAACAAATAATAATGGATGACCTTCTCTAATGAGAGCTGCCAGAGAAAGCAGGTCAGAAGGAAGTTTTTTCAGTTTTAATGTGAGGTAAAAGCACTGTTAGGAAATGTAGGTAGTCTGCATTTTTATCTTTTAACTGAAAGCAGTAATAACATTTAGTAGCAGGATATGAAGTATGGAATGGGAGAGAAACCAAATTCTTCTGCCTGTAGTTTAAGGAAAGAGCACATCATTTATCTGTTTGTTTCCTCAGCTTTAAAATGGGGATAATGATTCTTATAGGATCATATCTGCTGGACAGGGTTGTTGTCGGAATAGATGTTTGCATGGTCAAGTGCTATTTGTTATTAGCAGAGGGAGAACTTTCCCTACTCTCAGTCCTCTTGACCCGAGGGAGTTATGCCCCTCAGGAGCACGCAGTGTAGCCCTTCCTCAATATACCCCACCAGTCAGTGATAGGAGGAGCCCACAAAAGGAGGACAAGGTAGAGTTCTCTCTCCATTGACTCCCTTTCCCCAAGTAAGAGTGGAGGGAGCAAAATAAAAACATTTTCTTCTTCCATGGAAAAGGAGCTCAGGAAAGAGCTGAAATAAGGGGAAAGAGGTGGAAATAATATGGCAAGCGAAAGAAAGAATCATGGAGAGAAGGAGGAATAGGGGAAGAAAAAAATAGTATAGAAATGGGAGAATAAGGAAGAGAAAGATCAGAGGGAATATTGAGAAAAAATAAGAGGACAAATTTTCCAGTAGCAGAACCTGAGCAATTTCCATTTGCTTCAATGACAATTGCTTGTCTGCAGTGATTAGAGAATTGAGGCTAGGAGTGAGGAAGAGGAGCTCCACAAGATAGGAAGATTTGACAAAGGAGAGAGAAAATACAGAAAGAAACAAAAAGCTGGAAACATGAAATTGAATACATTAAGAATTAGAAAAGGCAAGTTAGAAAGATGAAAAAAGAATGTTCATGGATGTTTCAAGTTTTAAAACATGGGAAAACTGAAGCAAAAGAAAATAGAGGTGAAACTGAATAGAAGTTACTAAAGAGGCACAGACAAGAAGGGAAGACAGAAAGAAAGAAAACTAGATTAATATGTTAAATTAAAATAACTATTGCCAGCCATTGGCATTGTGAGGCTTAGCAATGCTTAGCAGTGGTTATGAACTTCCTTTCTACCACTAAACTATTCTACTGTTTTAGTAAAAAAAATGCAATAGCATACTGATCTACTGAACCGGAGAGCCTGAGATTTAATGGAAGAATTGGGAAAAAAATCAATCAAAATCAAGGTATTTTGCAGAAGTGTATCAATTATGACAACATTTGATGGAAAATGATGAAATTATTCATTTCAGCTTTCTCATTTTGTTTTGGCAGTTTTGAAAACTTGTTGGAATTATGATTTCATACAATTTTGGATTTATTTTTTATATTTCATTATGAAGTTTTGATAATGTCACAACATTTTTTGTTTCCATTTCACTCACACACACACACACACACAATCCCCAACATTTTAACTTTTCCCCAAACCAGGAGAAAAAGTTTCATAACACTGGAATTTCCCGAGGAACATAAATTCTGTCCCTTATACTCTAATATGTATCAAACTTCCTTCTGACAGGAATGCTAAACTTCCAGAGACTATTTTTGCATTATTCCCAAAAGGACTGGACCTGGAAAGTGGCATATCTCAGAAGGATTGCCCAACTTAATGTTATTATCTTGGAACAACAGTGTTTTGCTAAACCTGGAATTCTTTGTGAAGAGATCTTCATCACCTTGAACCCCTCTGAAAACTCCCTAAGGTGTAATCTCCAGGACAAACCTACTGTGTTCCACTCTAGATATGATCAAAACTTGGAATTTCCATTCCATGGGAAATTGAAACATTGTGGGATTTCTTTCCTGTTTCAAAATATTTGAGAATGTTTTGATTTCAATTATTAGGATTTTAAAAAGAAGGAATTCTGCTGGAAAAGTAATTGACCAGTTCTATTCCTCTAATAAACTCCAATAAGTTTTTTTTTTAAATGAAACTATTACAAAGCCAAAACTTTTATGTTAGCTGCAACTCTTTTCACATAGCTCTGCTGAACTGTATTATTTTATGAAGTGTAATTGGTTGAAGATTAAGTCAAATATTTACTTTTCTTCTCCTTAAATTGAGTCTTGTATTATATGTTATTTATTTTTACCTTTAGAGCATTTAAGTACAAATCAAATCTATTAGAATGCTAACATCTGAAAAATTCAAATGGCATTCAGGACACCTATTCAATTTTGCAGAAACTTGATAAAACTCTGAAGTGAGAACACAATTACAGGGCTAGCTTTGATTATTTAAATTCCTCAACACTTTTGCCAAATGCACGGTCAGTAAGCCACAGGCATCAGGAGCAGGTGAAAATTCAGTGGCAGTATATTGTGATGGCTCTCACTAGGAGTTTGTTGACAAGTGAACCTGTGCAACTGTTAGATGGTACGTATTATGTGATTTTGTGTCATACCTCATAATGTCTACAGTTATAGCTACACAAGGAAAGGCTACATTTGTAATTTCTATTAAAGTCTGCTCTTTTATTCTAAGGGCTTTGGGTTGGTCACTCATTTAGGCTGAGATAATGTTACAGTTTTTGACAGGAAAAGGAAAATTGTCAGAAACAAATAGTTTCAGAGAAGACTATTGAACTTCCAACATTCTACTGCTAGCCCATGGAGTTGAGCTCCATAGGAGTTGCAAAGAGAGCTCGATGCCTGCTATCAGCTGAAGTGCTCAAACAGTGGGGGATAGGGCAATATCAAAACAATAGATTTGTGCTATGGCTAGATTAGTTCATATAAGCTATGCTTTGCATTCCCTGCAGGATAGCACACTGTCTTAAAAGATTCCACTGTATTGTTTATCTCCAGATGGTGTGACTTACCATATCTCAGCAACAGCCACCTACTTTATGAAAAACCACCACCACATTTAAACAATCTGAAGCAGCTAAAGAATACTTGAGCTGAAAAAAAAAACAGGTATTGATTTATTCAGAGGCTTTCCCAGGAGGAAAAAAAGCACAAAGTGTACACAACCGACTGGTCAGTGTTGTCACTAGAATATGGATCTTGTGTGAAGATTTTATTTACTGACTGGTTTAATGCGGGTCTCACTGGTTTCCAAAAACAAAATAGTATACAGTACCAGAGAAGGATGTATGAAGTGAAGACAAAGACCCTCTGTAAATATATACAGAATACTATCTCACTGTGTTGATCATGAGAATAGCAAAGAGCTCTCCATTCTTCTGTCAGATGGTAGAAACAGAGAAGTGCCATGCAGGTTTGTGCCATGCAGCATTACGTCGACAGGAGAGTGCTGTCCCATCAACATAATTACTCCACCTTAGTGAGAAGTGGCAGCTATGTTGGTGGGAGGGTGTCTTCCACTGACATAGCACAGTGTAGACACTGCTTTAAGTCGATGTAAGTTACGTCACTCAGCGGGGTTGCTTTTTCATACCCCAAGTGATGTAACTTACATCGACTTAAGCGGTATTATAGACAAGCCCTGAGATACCATTTGATCTTTCTCTTTCCAATGTTTAGTGATAGAGCTGATTAGAATCAATTAAAAGCCCTTGCTCCCAGTCTGTGATTCCCAGAGCGGTCCGCACTGCTGAGCAAGATGTAGAGCTTGTGTGGGAACAGTGACAAGAAACTGGACTGAAGTCAGAGTGAGCTTGGTTAAATGGTTGAATCTCAGAACGTGACCTTGCAGCAAGTGGCAGCAGCAGTCGCATGGTGCGGTGGGAGAGAGTCAGTGGTGGCAGAGAGAAAGAGGCAGCTGTGAGTCAGTTGCAAGGCAGCAGCAGCAAACACATTGCTGAATTGCCACAACAAGGGGTGGAAGGTGAAACCTGCACCTCTGAACTCTGATTCTTCACTAACCAAGGACCACTGTGGTGCAGTGGAGGGAAAATAGATTGGTGTGTAAAGGGACACTTTTTGATAGACTTTCACACCATAAAGTGAGAACCTGAGACAAAGGACACTGCCCAACATAACGTGAGGTTGGATTTGCTTATTGTCACATGCTTTTCAATTATGGCCATGGTGTTTTCCCAAAAGAATGCTGGGTGCCCATTTTCCCTTTTAATAAAAGTTTGATTTCGTTGGGTCCCCTTGTGCTTGCACGAGGAGAAGTATTGCTCTTAGAAGAGCCCCGGGTGCTGTTCAGTTTTACCAGATTGCTGGGTGGAGGCTCAAGCCAGTTCTGGTTTATATAGTTAAGAGAAACCTCTAGACATTAAACCCAGCCCTTGTTGCTGCGACTCCACATGGCAGAAAGGTTACATAGACATGCCCTGAGACTTGAAGGAGGAAAGGGGGATGAGCTAGAGCAAGCTGGAGTGTGTCTGGGAGCAAGCAGGTTGCAGTCAAGAAGAAACGGGAGAAGAAGACTGCATGAAGGTTGAATAGGAGGGTTGTATTTTGAGGCACTTTGCAAGGTATACTGTGGCAGGTCCGGCTCTACATTTTTTGCCGTCCCAAGCAGGAAAAAAACAAACAAACCTGCTGAATACCCCTCTGCCCGAGAGAACAGGAACATCGGAGGGAGCTTCCACCAAATTGCGGCCGATGGGCTGCTGCTGGAATGCCACCCCAGGAACAGGCGGAGTGCCGCACCTCTAGCAGCTCCGCCATAGGCACCAGCTTGCTTAGCTGGTGCCTAGAGCCAGCCCTGTACTGTGGGAGGAGAAGGGAGCTAAAAAGGTCAAGAAGATGGTGCAGAGAGAGAGTTCAGATGTTGGAGATGTTTGGGTTAGTTGAGTGGTGAAAAGTGGGATAAAGTTCTGCCTCCGTTTCTTTGTGCAATGTGCTGCGTTGCAAATAAAGCTGGTTAGGAATTTTTCATCTGCTTTTTTTTCAATATAATATGCATTTCCACAAAAGTGAAATTTTCATCAGGCTTGCTTTTTTTTTTTCCAGTTTTTCATTGAGAAAATTGGAACAAAATATTTCCTTTTGTCAGGCTGACCCAAATTAAAAAATTTCATTTTTGTCAAATTGAATCAAAGTGTTTAGTTTGGGATCTGTTGGCCATTAATCTGCATCCACCTGAGTTGCCATGCTGCCCTATGGCAGCTGTAGTTTGAGTTCCTCATGCCCCCATTCTCTGCTATGGACTCTCCAACTTGACTACATCTCTCAAGATGCACTACCATCTCCGCTCTGGCTGAACTGCCACAATGCACCATTTGTTCCTTGTTAAACAAAGTCAAAACAAATTGTTTGATTTGGTTCCACAAATCAAAATGAAATATTTTGTTTCAGGAATGTAGAAACAAAGTGATTTTTTTAAGCATTATGTTCTACACCATCTTCTGAGATTTCAACATTTTGTGCCAATGCAGGATCAAAACAAATTTCAAAATACTGGAATTTCCTACAGGATGAAAATTTGGATTTTCATCCAGCTCTAGCTATCAGGTTTAAACTAATTTTAATCTGGGGGATACTGTTTCTGCTTGAAACTTCTCAGTTTGAACTTTGCTTTGGACACACATCATAGCTCCCATTGTTTCAAATAAGAAACACTAGAGCAAATCATTGTTCCTCTTAAGTGGTCAAAATCTTCATTATCTGTCCATCCTCTCCTAGAATCCATCCAAAACACTTCGGGGGGGGGGGGGGGGAACCTTCAGAGCAACTAAAGATACAGACATCTTTTCTTATTAATCTGACATTGTCTGTGACATGTGTCATCATTAGTCAAGTGTCCCATAACAGAACAGGCATCACATGCTTCATATCCTTCCCTCTTTCCAGTGCATGTTATCAAGGCTGTCAAATACTTTTAAAGTGGAATATGATATCTTAATGGAAACTAAAAGCTGTCACTTACAATACAAAATGTATTGACAAAGTAACATACAACCATACCAGCTCTGGGTAGCCCAAAGGGAGCATGGGATTTGATGGAGTCAAAGTAGGTCACTTTACTTTTCAAGTAGTACATTCTACTCAAAATATACAGTGAAACTCTTTTGGGTATAAAAAAGGCAGATCCTTTGATGTGATGTTTACTCTTGGGATGCCATGTCTGAATTTCTTCCTTTTCTATTAGTTTTATTTTTCCTTGTCACCTTAATCAGCCCTCCGACACTGATCCCCAACCATAAACATCTGAGGTCTAATTCCAGAGAGTGCTGATTTAGTAAACTGGAATCATCTGATCAAGTACAATCTAGAGTAATTTGCTTTACTTCCCTTTAATAAACAAATACTCAGCTGCTCCCATTTACTCACTTTTGCTCAGACCACACAGAAGAACAGAGGAGAGGGGAAAAAATAAAATAGGTCGGAGACATGCAAATACAGGAAAAGTGCCTATATACAGAATCAACTGCACAGCCATGATCTACAACTTGCAAACTCCAAGCATAATTCCCACTCTATATGCTATACTTTTAAGCAACTACCAAGCAGATAGAAGGATTTACCTGGCAAATAGTCAGCCAATAGCAACACAGCACGGAAAAGACTGGCTGTAAGCATCTGGAGTGAGTTAGGAGGCGAAGGAGATCACCATATTGAAATGGAGTGCCAAAATGTCTTCTGTTTTCCTGTAGATTTCAACCCAATGGAGGTTTCACTGGCCCTGCCTATGTCCCCTCCTCAGTACCAACTACTGTTCTTTTCTAAGGAGAAAAGGCAATGCAGGAACAGGCCTAAGAAATCTATGGAAATCCGTTCTATTGAAATGTTTTGCTTCCCCCTAGTATTTGCAAAGGAGATATACCATCTTTGGTGATTGCTTCCTGCTCTATTTTTGAATGATAAAGGGAAATGTTATAGCTGATTTTTTCATGCCACAAGATTTACTCCACACCTTGATATATCCATTTTCAATAAATTTCTCAATTCCAGTTAGGTCCAAGTAATTATCTAAACAGAGAAAATTCTTTCTGAAAGAGTCTGCTCCTAAATTTTGATCACAAAATAGAAGAATTAATCTTCAGATATACAACATTAATGACAAGGGGTTGGATTTTCCACACTAAGGCCCCAATCATAGAAAGCATATACACAGGTGCTTAACTTTCCTCCCATGTGGACCAGTAACATACTAACCAAACTTTAAGCAAAGTATTTTAAATTTAGCAGTGGGCGGGGCCAGCTCTAGGCACCCGCAAAACAAGCAGGTGGTTGGGGGGGGCACATTTCTAGGGGCGGCATTCCAGTGCCGGCCATGCTGCCCCTAGAAATGTGACCCCCCCCCCCCCCCAGCTTGCCTCCACTCCGCCTCTGCCTGCTCCCCTGAGTGCGCCGCCACCGCTCCGCTTCTCCCCCCTCCCTTCCTTCCTCCCTCCCTCCCAGGCTTACTGTGCAAACCAGCTGTTTGGTGCGCGGCAAGCCTGGGAGAGCGGGAGGAGAAGCCAAGTGGCAGCGCTGTCCGGGGAGGCAGCGGTGGTGGAGCGGAGGTGAGCTGGGGCGGGGAGTGGTTCCTCTACCCCCCCTCCCCCGCTCACCTCCTGCTCCGCCTGCTCCCCTGAACACGCTGCCTCTCCCTCGCCTGAGAGGGAGTGGGGAGAAGCAGACCGGCAGTATGTTCAGGGGAGCAGGCAGAGCAGACGTGAGCTGGGTTGTGGGGTAGCTGCAGGAAGCAAGCGGAGGGAATGAGGCACACCCTGGGGAGGAGGCGGGGGCGGGGATTTGCGGAAGGGGTTGGGAAGGGGAGGAGTTGGGGCGGAGCCAGGGGTGGGAGGGAGAGCATGAAAGAGAAAGTGGGGGCGGCCAACATGTTTTTGCTTGAGGTGGCAAAAATCCTAGAGCCAGCCTTGGCAGTGGAAACAAAGCTTTGGGCCCCAGGGGAATGAAGGGGAAGGATTTTAAAACAAATAGCTGGTATGAATGTATATTTTACCTAAAATACTGGGACTACCCATGGTAGTAAAGCACCAGTGTAAGGTGTGCAGGATTGGGGCCTAAGTGGTTAAGGAGCTCAAGGGCCATTAAAAGTCCCTTGTGTTAAAGTCATTCAGGATTTTTTGGAAATCTCACCCAATGCCTTCTCAACGTAAATTAACTGATCGAAAATGTAGGGACCAATCCTGCACATTTTTCTCAGTTAAGTATTACCACTGAAGCTATACACATTACTTGTGTTAGCAAGGATAACTTACATGAGTAGTACTGGTTGCAGGATTGGATCCTTAGAATGCAGGGCTCAGCATACAAAAGTAATGTAATGACATGGAAAATAATAAATTACATGACCGATGCTTCACAGATGCGCATTAGTATGTCATCATTCACCAAAAGGAAAAGGAGAGCAAGAGACAGAATTTTCATTAAACTAGGTATACAAAATGACACCTTAAAAAAATTGTAAACAAAACCAGAATGGTATTAAAGACATAAATCTTACTATGTTACCCGGCCAGTCAGAACGCTCATCGTAATTCTTAGCAAAGAAAGGGAAAAAAGCCAGAAAGACAAAGCTTAGTGAACTTTGAACTGCATATTTTCCATATGCTGAATGATTTATACAGCTAGCAATCACTATCCTGCAATGATCTCTAATCATACAGATTTGGCTTTTGTTGAAGTTACTAGGCAATCTGAATTACTGTTTATGCAACTTGGGAATGACTAAACAAACAGTTATGCTTCCGTACATTTTTTTTCCTCACATAAATAAAGCTTAGCACAGTTTATCATCATTCAAGAAGGAAAACTGGACAAATATTGAGTTACATCTTCACACAGAATCATAGAATATCAGGGTTGAAGGGACCTCAGGAGGTCATCTAGTCCAACCCCCTGCTCAAAGCAGGACCAAATCCCAACTAAATCATCCCAGCCAGGGCTTTCTCAAGCCTGACCTTAAAAACTTCTAAGTAAGGAGATTCCACCACCTCTCTAGGTAACGCATTCCAGTGTTTCACCACACTCTTAGTGAAAAAGTTTTTCCTAATATCCAACCTAAACCTCCCCCATTGCAACTTGAGACCATTACTCCTCGTTCTGTCATCTGGTACCACTGAGAACAGTCTAGAGCCATCCTCTTTAGAACCCCCTTTCAGGTAGTTGAAAGCAGCTATCAAATCCCCCCTCATTCTTCTCTTTCGCAGACTAAACAATCCCAGTTCCCTAAGCCTCTCCTCATAAGTTATGTGTTCCAGTCCCCTAATAATTTTTGTTGCCCTCCACTGGAAGTTTTCCAATTTTTCCACATCCTTCTTCTAGTGTGGGGCCCAAAACTGGACACAGTACTCCAGATAAGGCCTCACCAATCTTGAATAAAGGGAAACAATCACATCCCTCGATCTACTGGCAATGCCCATACTTATACATCCCAAAATGCCATTGGCCTTCTTGGCAACAACGGCACACTGTTGACTCATGTCCAGCTTCTCGTCCACTGTAACTCCTAGGTCATTTTCTGCAGAACTGCTGCCTAGCCATTTGGTCCCTAGTCTGTAGCGGTGTATGGGATTCTTCCTCCTAAGTGCAGGACTCTGCACTTGTCCTTGTTGAACCTCATCAGATTTCTTTTGGCCCAATCCTCTAATTTGCCTACGTCCCTCTGTATGCTATCCCTACCCTCCAGCGTATCTACCACTCCTCCCAGTTTAGTGTCATCTTCAAACTTGCTGAGGGTGCAATACACGTCATCCTGCAGATCATTAATGAAGATATTGAAAAAAAACAGGCCCAGGACCGACTCTTGGGGCACTCCACTTGATACTGGCTGCCAACTAGACATGGAACCATTGATCACTACCCATTGAGCCCGACAATCTAGCCAGCTTTCTATCCACCTTATAGTCCATTCATTCAGCCCATACTCCTTTAACTTGCTGGCAAGAATCCTGTGGGAGACCGTGCCAAAAGCTTTGCTAAAGTCAAGGAACAACATGTCCACTGCTTTCCCCTCATCCACAGAGCCGGTTATCTCGTCATAAAGGGTAATTAGATTAGACAGGCATGACTTGCCCTAGGTGAATCCATGCTGAATGTTCCTGATCACTTTCCTCTCCTCTAAGAGCTTCAGAATTGATTCCTTGAGGACCTGCTCCATGATTTTTCCAGGGACTGAGGTGAGGCTAACTGGCCTGTAGTTCCATGGATCCTCCTTCTTCCCTTTTTTAAAGATGGGCACAACATTAGCCTTTTTCCAGTCGTCCTGGACCTCCAACGATCGCCATGAGTTTTCAAAGATAATGGCCAAAGGCTCTGCAATCACATCTGCCACCTCCTTTAGTACTCTCGTATGCAGCACATCTGGCCCCATGGACTTGTGCTCGTCTAGCTTTTCTAAATAGTCCCGAACCACTTCTTTCTCCACAGAGAGCTGGTCACCTCCTCCCCATGCTGTGCTGCCCAGTGCAGTATTCTGGGAGCTGACCTTGTATGTGAAGACAGAGGCAAAAAAAATCATTGAGTACATTAGCTTTTTCCACATCCTCTGTCACTAGGTTGCCTCCCTCATTCAGTAAGGGGCCCACACATTTCTTGACTTTCTTCTTGTTGCTAACATACCTGAAGAAACCCTTCTTGTTACTCTTAACATCTCTTGCTAGCTGCAACTCCAGGTGTGATTTGGCCTTCCTAATTTCACTCCTGCATGCCCGAGTAATATTTTTCTACTCTTCCCTTGTCATTTGTCCAATCTTCCACTTCTTCTAAGCTTCTTTTTTTGTGTTTAAGATCAGCAAGGATTTCACTGTTAAGCCAAGCTAGTCGCCTGCCATATTTACTATTCTTTCTACACATCGGGATGGTTTGTCCTTGTACCCTCAATAAGGATTCTTTAAAATACAGCCAGCCCTCCTGGACTTCTTTCCCCCTCATGTTATTCTCCCAGGAGACCTTGCCCATCAGTTCCCCGAGGGAGTCAAAGTCTGCTTTTCTGAAGTCCAGAGTCCATATTCTGCTGCTCTCCTTTCTTCCTTTTGTCAGGATCCTGAACTCGACCACCTCATGGTCACTGCCTCCCAGGTTCCCATCCACTTTTGCTTCCCCTACTAATTCTTCCCGGTTTGTGAGCAGCAGGTCAAGAAGAGCTCTGCCCCTAGTTGGTTCCTCCAGCACTTGCACCAGGAAATTGTCCCCTACACTTTCCAAAAACTTCCTGGATTGCCTGTGCACCGCTATATTGCTCTCCCAGCAGATATTAGGTGATTGAAGTCTCCCTTGAGAACCAGGACGTGCAATCTAGTAACTTCTGTGAGTTGCCAGAAGAAAGCCTCGCCCACCTCATCCCCCTGGTCCGGTGTCTACAGCAGACTCCCACCACGACATCACCCTTGTTGATCACACTTCTAAACTTAATCCAGAGACTCTCAGGTTTTTCTGCAGTTTCATACCAGAGCTCTGAGCAGTCATACTGCTCTCTTACATACAATGCAACTCCCCCACCTTTTCTGCCCTGCCTGTCCTTTCTGAACAGTTTATATCCATCCATGACAGTACTCCAGTCATGTGAGTTATCCCACCAAGTCTCTGTTATTCCAATCACATCATAATTCCTTGACTGTGCCAAGACTTCCAGTTCTCCCTGCTTGTTTCCCCGGCTTCTTGCATTTGTGTATAGGCACTTGAGATAACTTGCTGTTTGTCCTTCTTTCTTAGTATGAGGCAGGAGCCCTGCCCTCTCGCGCTCTCCTGCTCGTGCTTCCTCCCGGTATCCCATGTCCCCACTTACCTCAGGGCTTTGGTCTCCTTCCCCGGTGAACCTAGTTTAAATCCCTCCTCACTAGGTTAGCCAGCCTGCTTGCGAAGATTCTTTTCCCTCTCTTCGTTAGGTGGAGCCCGTCTCTGCCTAGCACTCCTCCTTCTTGGAACACTATCCCATGGTCAAAGAATCCACAGCCTTCTCTCCAACACCACCTGCATAACCATTCGTTGACTTCCACGATTTGACGGTCTCTACCCGGGCCTTTTCCTTCCACGGGGAGGATGGACGAGAACACCACTTGCTCCTCAAACTCCACCGATGCTTCAATAGGTAATACAGAAATAAGGAAAAGAGATCTGAGGCAGAAGGGACCTTATCAAGAGCCCTTTCAAGGCAGTTTATGTAATCAATGGGCTTTGAACTAGATGTAATAATCCTTACAATTTAGTAAGGAAAAATATTAAAATGCAAATGTGTATAATTTTTTTGGTGTTTAACAGATATGGCTCAAACCTGGAAATT